AAGCTAGCTTGTACCATTCGACTTGTATAACTTTGGGGTCGAGTATACAATTATTCACGCTTTAATTAAGAGATCGATCTTTCATTACGTCCCAGCTGGGGCCGGTGGCTTTCAAAGAGGTGTAGTGTTTCAAAACTAAAGCCCCAAAATATTTTCAGATAACAATTATACCCCCCTTCCCAATTCTTATGTTAAAAATGTACCCCCTCTTGACGAGGCCATAATTCTCTCCTTACGTTCTCACACATGCAGATTTTCTATCTTGTTTATTCAATATTTTGATTATTTTTTCTCTCGTCTATTGTTTGTTATTTTTTTTAGCATTTTTCCTTTCCTTAGAAGCAGAATTCATATCAAGAAATATAAGGAGTAACGCCAGGTCGAATAAGGTTACTCCTTATATTTCTTGTTAAATGCTTAACAAGCAACTGACCAACAGAATTCCTATCCCCACTTATTTTTTTAAAATTCTAGTTACCTTCTAAGCTGCTTGTTCAACTCTTGATAGTGATGAGGGCATTTCGTTACTCACATCTGATAGTGATTCAATCTGTCTGACATTGCTGACGTGATGAAACATTTGCCACTCGTGCTTGAAGATGATTTCCAGTCCGTACTGCGCAGTCTCAGCACCCTAATGTTTATAAACATAAGTTCTCACTTGATGGAATGCGAATCGATGTTATTCGTTACGAACCACATACTTTATCTTCGAAGCCTTTCAGATTCTTTTTCCAAGAGTTTCATTGATTTTTACAGCTGCGAAGTTGTTTCATCAAGTGATATAAGAAAGTACGATGCAAAAAGCTTTGCATCCATATTGGAGGTCAGGTTGGAGGTTGTTTTGAAACTTTGAATTTACTTCATGTAAGTAGTTGCGAAATGTTTACATTTTGTGATGTCTTACATGAAACAAAACAAAAATCGCAAACAAATTCTTGAGAGTGCGCAGGACGGACTGGAATCATCTTACGGGGTTTTTCAATCATTGTTTAATATAAATGGTTTTCCCATTTGTATTAAGGTGGCTCCATAGCGTAATCATTTATGGCGTTGCGCGGCCAAGTCTTATGTCTTGAAAGCTGTTTTTGCATTCGTTTTTGCACCCAGTCCTCGCAATGATTAAATAGTGTTTTACTATCATCTCTGTTAAAACTTTGGGTTCTAGTCTCGAGTTATAAATGCCCAAACGAAAGTGTTTTTTACATTTTTTATGGCTTTATTTGTGATTTTCTTGAATTTGCTTCGGTGAAATCTTCCAAAATTTTCACAGCACATCACATCCTGCGGGATACGAATCTCAAACACGAAAAAAGTAGGGTTTGTACATGCAGTTGTTTTCGAATTTTGCAAATTTATGTCTTTTACCGCTACGAAAAAACTGGTCTTATAGATTTCCCTGAAGAACGAGTTCCCACTAAAGTAAAATATTGACTACCAGTCTGCCAAAATTTACAGGCATAGTTGTCGAACATTTTACACTGGAGCAGGAACTTTACAGATTTTGGCATTATTTTCTCTGGACAGGTGAAGCGTTTCGCGGAAAACGTGCGCAGCTGGCTCTCTTTCTAAACTTCCGAAGCGCACCCTGGCCTAAAGTGCCCTCCAGCTGTGCGTTACACAGGGTGTCAGTCGCACACTTGAAGAATAAACACAAACGAAAGGGGAACAGAAATTTTACACGAACCTCAGGGAAATTTGATTCAATTCATCAACACAACAGAAGTTATTCGTGTTTTAAAAGCTGTGCTTTTCAAGTGCTTGTAGAAGCTGACAGCTGATGCACGCAAAATTAAAAAAGGCGCCGAGAATGTCGTTGATAATCAGGCGCGAGTTACAGGTAATGTTTAGGACTGTTTCACTGACTTTTTTGTGTGACGAGAAGGTGACAAATGTCTGCTTTATCTGTTGCTATCACTTTCGAAACCACTTTGTCAATCCAAACGATTCTGGAACAGTAAACTAGGGTACGAACAGGAAAACTAAGAGGTTTTGTACTGTTTACTTTTATGATATAAAACTCACTTAAGCGACTTCTATTCTTTCACTTCGACCGCACCAACAAATGTTGTAGGGCGAATGCCTTAACCACTTACAGATGATAATATTACCGAAACCATAGGAATTATGGAATTATGCGCATCTTGAAAAGTTTAGCCTAATTTTTTCAAGTTCGTTGTTTGTAATCCGTGCCGATCTTCACCATCCTTAACCATCCTTGTTCCTTTGTGGTTTATTATTAACCCTTTTGTGTAAGTTTGTCTATCTTACTAGACTATTATTTTAAGGTTTTCCCTTATTTAGAGGTAATTTTGTACGCGGCCAAAATAACTTAAAATACCGTGACAGAGCTTCTTTAAGGCGCGGTGGCCTTGTGATCTGAGCGCTGGATACCTGATCGAGAATTTCTGCATGGCAGGGATTATTGCCGAGCTTTACTGTGCAAGACACTTTATTTTCTCAATTTTCTCTTCTCTCCGGACGAAACACCAAATTAATACTGGCTTGACAAAATTCCGGAGGGTCAGCGAAGGACTGCCATCCTATCCGCGGGAGTACAACGATTCTGCGGGGGTCCTGGTCGCTTCATGCTACAGACCGATCTTTAGCCAAGTTTGGGATGTACGTAACTGCCTTTTACCAGTCATTACCGAGTCTCTGATTCCACACGAGTTTCTGCCTTTTGTTTCTGGGCTTTTTCGGCGGAGGTAGACTCGCGAGGATTTCTCGAGACGCGACGGGACAGTCGCATCCCCGCGCGAGCGCGTCTCGACTATTTTACGCTTAAATTCACATGCAGTCTTTGTCACGATCAAGCCAGGAAAAAAAAAAAAAAAACGAGAAACTTGCAACAAAGAAAATCTTTGCAAGGCTCTTTATTCCTGCATGCTGTGAATTCTGTCAAAAAAAAGGGCCAAAAAAATTCTAGTCTTTCTTCGTCTTCATTTGAAGCAGCTGTTTATTCGTTCATGATTGGTTTTAAAACAAACTGAGAAACGTGTTACAAGCAGACTCCAAGTTAGTTTCTGGTCGTGCATTGATGCACGTGCATCGCATTTAACTCACTCCCAACACCTTAAGGTTGCCATGCGAACAACTAACTCATCAGGGTCTTTTAAGCGGCGATGCGACATCATTGTTTACTTCTCGAATACAGCATCCTCGGAGATCCGTGGCGGATTGTCAGATAGGAAGTCTAACGGCTGAAAGCGATGCGAACGGACGTTTACAAGAACGAGCAAGTAAAAGTTTGGGAGAACTCGAGAAAGCTGCAGGAACACTCGCATTATTTCTCGTTTTCCCAGTACTTCCACTTGTTTCTACAACTCAATGGAAACACGGAAAATGTGTTTTTTAAAATATTTCTTAACACCAGTTACTTTATGGCACAGACTCTATCAGTGCAAATTAGCCAGACTTTTAACTTTCAATACAATGCATTTATGCTGATGAGGAGATCAAACAACTGATATATACTGACACGCGTTTCGCGTACGGGAGGGATTGTGAGAAGGCGACAGCTAGACTCAAACTGAACTTCTCAAATGGTATCAAAGAGTTATCCCCTAGTACCACGCGGCTCAAAAATGTTCAGAGCGAATACTGACGCTTTTTTGATTCCATGTGGACTGAGTTTTTCACTGGTTGCCCGGCAAAGCTGATGGCATGCAAATCGTAAAGAAATGTACTAAGATCTGCATTTATGATTTCAGACGATCTTTTAAGATCACCTGGATAACCTGTTTTCACATGAAAGCCAGTCTGCACAAATATAAACGACGTTTTCCAAACTCTCACGAAAATTCCCTGAAATCTTTTTTACAGTTTTTCTTGTAATTAACCTCCTGAGAATTACTGGTTTTAGTTACCTGGAAGTTGGTCAGCGGGACACTTTTCAGTGTTGATTAAATTCTCTATTCTCACCACCTGCTTTCCCTAATTTGTTACAACAAAGTAACGAGAAGATAGCAGCTAATCATTGCCATGGATAAACAGGTCAATTTAAATATAGTGCATTGCCTTTTGTTTCGCCCGCCACGCGTTTTAAAATGTCAAAAATTTCATTATTTTCAACATGACTTAGAGCGTTTAATTAACTGTAACATTTTTCTGGTTCAACTCAGTGGTTTTTAATATATAGATTTGATTTGGTGGTCGTATTGTTACCGTTTTTATGTTGGGTTTTGTTGAAGGTGCTTCAACGAGAACTAAATTTAAATAAATTTTAAGTCAATGACTGGCGCGCGCTCTTTTGAGAAAAGTTGAAGATGTTCGCAGACATAAACTTTGGTTTCAAACGACCGGGTCGCTAAAATTTGCTTAATGCTAAGTAGGCTCGGTTCTTTTCATGTTATGCCACTTAACTTTACTTTTTTCAACTCCCAACTGGGTCGCTTAGGAGATTTAATCATTTAACAAATTACATTGCTTTGAATATGTCTGCCTTTGCTTGTGGCCACGCACGAAATTCGAGAAGTTTCAACGTAGAAAACAAACTGTTCCTTTTGGATATCTGACGGCTAGCGGACGATTTTTTTATGACGATTCTTCAGCGTTCTGCAGAGAATAAAGATGGTTCATACGAAAGGACTGCGCCGATCGAAAAAATGAATCATTTCATTTCAGCAGCATCGCTAGACAAATTTTGGCACATTGAGTTTCCCTTAATTGTGTTTACCCTTCAATGACGGGAAACGAGACTTCTCTTGTCAAGTTTTCGAAAGTTGCTCCATTTTTATGGCTGTAACCCCCTGTTGTTTTCAAAATTTGATAAAGTAGCGCTTAATGTTTCCCGAAACCAAAGTAAATTACTTTTCACTGTTGATTTCATTTAAAATTTCGCTGGAACTGATCTAAAATTCAAATGTAATATTTTGATTCGCGTGGAAAAGTGAGCGGAATCGCAAATTGCAGCTTTAGATGTTAAATATTGTCACAAATACCCAATATTTTAAGTCACGTAAGCAATTTTGGTCTATTTTTCGAAAGGAAAACGTTTTCTAACTAATTTCTTTAATCAGTTCGAACCACTTTGAGTGGGTGACAAGTGTTTTTAACTTGTATATTGTTTGAATGTATTAAAAATTCAAAATGAACAAATTTCACTTCCATCGAGCGCCTGTCTGCAACAATCTACAAGAGGCTGGGATATCTTTGAGTCTGTCCATGCCTTTTTGCTAGAAAACGAGAATTTTCCGGTGACGTTTATAGCGAGATTTTTTCAACCGAGATAAGAAAGAAGTTTTCGTTTCGTGTCAATTAATGTTTAATCCAAAATTAACCCGAGGGTGCTGTTCGGCGCGCGGGGCATCTTGGGAAAGTTTTGTTTGTGAACTTTTTGGCAACGATAATGAACATTGGCCACAGGACTAGTTGAGAAACAAGAGGCCAAAACTTCACATGCGAGAATTCTCCCTCGCGGATAAAGCGATCGGACGATTAGCCTGTGCCGGCGAGAGAATTCCGGGCTGGAATTATTTTCCCTTCAGTCGGCAAATTTTTTCCGGGGGATCTACGATACGGCAATCAGGTAACATTCTTCTAAAGCTTGACTTCGTTCGATGACAAAAAAACTTTTCTCGTATGCAAATTAATAGCATGTGAGCGAACAAAACGGGGAGAAGAAGCGAAAGAGATTTGCTGCGCTTTCTGGCCGCGTTCAGCGCCGAAAAGAACTGCAAATGTTCGAAACTTTTCCACAGCACGGTAACCCGAACTTGTGTGAAATTTATAGATTGTTGTTGTTCTTTATCGACTTCAAGCAGTTTTAAATTTATGCTTTCCGTCTGTTGATATATTTAAATAGCTGTAAAATCCATGTAAATGTTTAGTTGTTGTTCGCCGATGTAGATAATAGTTTCAGCTGTGGGAATAAGAGCACCAGAGTTACAGCCTTCCGCTCGCTCGAGCTAACTCAACGAGTTCTACCAGTTGGAGTAATTTCATCGGAATTAAATATCTGTGTGGAGCTTTTGATAAAAATTTATCGCGCCGGGAGTAAGAATTTTTAATAATTTTCGCCCAACTCAATTGTTTGTCTTTAGGTAGAAGTAAGTTTAATTTTTGCGAACGCTGGCGGTTCGCGAGCAGTTTGTTTAGGCAAATCGTCGAAGTCCAAAAATATTTTCTCTCGTGGTAAATTTTATATTTTGACTTTGTAGATTATGCTTTATGAGGCCGTGCGTAGACATTGTTGGTTTAACTTTCGTTTCAGCCGATTGCTCGCTTATTTGAAAACAATTCTTTTTTTCAGGAACGCCGAAAGCCGAGTGATTTTTGCAAAGAGCTGGCAAAGGGCAAATAACTCGCAGCAGAGAGCAAGCGATGGAGGAACCTCCTGAAGCGAGCAGGGAATTCGCACTTCAACAAGAAAGGCAACAAACTGCTGGTGCAGGAATTAAACGGGAAGCGATGTCTTTCGAGTCGGTGAGTGCACCATTAGATCAGACAGAATATTTGGGGTGAGGACCTAGCACTTGATGAAAATCTGCTCCTCTTGTTGTTCAAAAGTTTCGAAATAATTCGCTGGTGTGCACGAAATATTGAAACTTGATATAGTCGCGTTCGTTATCGCCTGTAAACGGTACGTTCCTTGTGATCCGCTCGAGCTTGTGAAAATCGCTACAGCAAACTTGTCTTTCGTTATTGTTACTTCTTCGCTCGATGCGCAGTCATTTAACTTTTTCCGAGTACCGTTTTCGGATGTTCTGGTCCGTTCAATCTGCGATCGAGAAATCTTCACACGAGTCTGTCGTGGTTTTAAAACTTTTTGTACACAGCGAACTAATTTGCATATTTTTTTCTTCATTCATTCAAACCCTCTTACGAAAAGTTTTTTCGAAGTGAAATTTTCATGGTCTGTTGGCGATGCTTAGCCGAAGGTGAAAGTTCACTTTCCTCGAGATCTTCATAATCACTGGTCTGTGTTTTCTTTCAAAGTTTTCGACCAGATTACAGGCAAAAGAACGCTTTACAGAGAATGTCTTTCGTTTGCTCGTGAGATATGTTAATTTCTACCTGTACTTTCTCGAAGAAATTGTCTTGAACCTTGTTTATTTCCTGATACAACTATTTAGTAACGCTCGTTGCGGCCAGTTTCCGTCGAAAATTTATTGAAGAAGATTGATTTAATTTTCCTTTGAGATTGTTTTCTAGGTGTTTTGGTGGTTGTAAATCAGTGGGGATTTTTTTCGTCGGCGATTAGAACTTACATTTTGAATAAGTAAACATTAGCAGTTGTTTTCGCCTATTACGAAGGATCGAAAATACTTTTGCTTCTCGGAGATTGGGCCAAAAATTATTGGATTGTACCGAGATATCAAAGGGATCGAATGGCCCGTAGAATGCTGAAAATGGCTTGATTTGCCCACGTTTTGGAAAACGTAGGACATTTCGAGTGTAATTGGCCCCTTATTGTTATGCACAGATGGTCTGTCTCTTTGCTGTTTATGAATGATGATGAAAGTTTGCAAACTCAACTCGAATTGCGTTCATAATGCCCTCTTTCGCCGCCCTTCATGCAACTTAAGAGGTCTTAGATTTAAAAAGTTTAAGCCATCTTAAGTTTTTCGATCTGTTTGCCAGTTTCCGTGGAGTTGTTAACTTCCCCAGGGATATTAATTCCCTGGCTTTTGGATAGGAACTGCGTATCACAGAGCAGCGAGAAACGTTATTAGCAAGTTCCGATGTCATTTCCAAATACATAGCTCTTTTCATTAACTATTTTCTTTGGGTGTCTTGCAGTTTTAAGAATGGAAATTCGAGAAAGGTTAGGAATTTCGAACAATAATTATTTTAAAATAAATATGAATGGAATCCGGTGAATACTGGGAGATGCTATTTGCAGATTGGAATGAAATGTGTTTAAATTACCTCAATAAGAAGACAATTTTCTCGGATTATTTTCATTTAGCAGCTTTAAAAAAAACCAGGGTTTATTTGCATGGGCAGTTCATATCTGCTCGTCGTCACCAGTAGATGAAAAATATACAGGTCTGCAAATTTTATTGGTAAGCCTGCCATTTAAAATGTATTCATTAATAAGGCAGGGTGTCAAATTCTGGCAGATGACTGTTATTTTGTCTTCTTATCTGTAGGATTCAGTGTCACGTCAAAACAAATGGAAAGAAATTTAAAGGGGCAGAAATCCTGACCCTTGTCATCCCAAGCTGCCGCTTTTATGATAGGAAACAGTTTTCCTCACATTTCTAACTGGA